CTGTACCCCCCCCCCCCCAAAAAAAAACAAAACAACCAAGCACCCTAGTAATTTTCAGGTATTTCCCTCTGTGCAAACAGGAAAAGATGGCAGAAGAAGGGCCCTGGCAGGAGTACTGCAGTCTCTGTCATCTGGAAGCCATAGCTACACTTCCTTCCCTGTTAATTCATCTAATAGAAAACCAACATATGCTGCAATATCTAGTCAAAACAGTGTCAGATACTCTATTCTTCCTTTCAGTGCTCCCCCAAAACACTCAGAATTTAGTGTTGTTTCTTCTCTCTCCACATTAATACTGTTAGTTCTCTGCATTCTTTAAAAAAAAAAAAAAAGAAAGAAAAGAAGAAAAAAGAGGAAAAAGAAAAATAAGTTTCTTTTGGAAAAGCGAGTGTGTTTTTGAGGTTGAGCATTCAGTGCTCCCCTTACATCCGTATGCATGTATGCAACTGACAATGCTGGTAATTTTCTCAATGCTTGTTAGAAAAGAAGGTTTGACCCTTTCTCCTTTCCCTAGCCATTCATTTTACTTCTCAGCCTTCAGATCAAACCTTGTTCTGAAGCTGGCAATACTGGTTTTACCAATGCCACCTATCCTCCAGCTTCTACATCAGTTCAGCAACTTTATCTGCTATGATTAGCATTGCCTTCACCATCAGGTACTATGTTGAGGTGACCCTCTTTGTCCAAACCAAGACAGCTGGTGCAATGGGAGAGAGGAAGGGGGGAAAAAACCCAACCCCAAATCCAAAAACAGGCAAACAAGCAAACAAAAAACCCAACCAAAACAAGACAGTCATTGAGATTTGAATCTTTACCTGATCTCCATGCTCATGCTCTCCATTTTATTTTTTAGTATAATTGAGCTGTGTTTTGATCAGATCCCTGCTTAGCTATGCACATTTTGTTATTGTTGGTTTTGAAATCTGAATGAAATCTGATAAATCATGACTTTTCCACTTATTTTATGCAAAGATAGCTTTTTCCTCCTGTGCTGTTAGATGTAATTAACATTCAATGAGCAGTGACACTTAATATAAGAATATATAGTAGCCAGAGTACAAGTGAAATAGATCACCAAAACAGGATCAGGCCAGTTTCAAAACTATGTTAATTAATTAAAAAAAACCCTACATTCATCTCGTATCTTGCGTAGTTAAAAAAGCGTGTTTCTGTCCTTAAAAAAATGCCTGCAAAAGTGACCACCATTTTATCCAGCACTTATGTTCAATATTTCTGAGACCTTTCCACTAATTTCTCCAATAAAAATACTTCCTACTGCTTTTGATTCCACTTTACCCTGCAGAGCCAACACAGTCAGAGAAAGGCAACTAGATTCTTTTTATGTGCCTCATCATCAGACTTAAATCACTATTTCCTCACAGTGATACCCCTAAAAAGCCACCAAAAATTACAGAAATCTGCATCACCCACCAGTCCAGTCTAGCTTGTCAAAGCAAATTTTGCAGGCTGTTATGGAAGCCTGCCAGGAGACTTCAGAAATTTTTATTCCTAGTGTGCTTTTTTCTTTTTATCTGCTTTGGAGAGGAAAAAAAAAATAAGGCTATCCCAGCTTTAAATGGCCACTTACAAGCATGGGTGGCTTATAAGCACTAGTAACTCAGGGTGCCATTGTAATGTAGTAGAATAATTTTCATTATGGTTAAGTTGCTCTTGAACAATAATGCTAATTAGCCAGGCCAAAACTATAGCTTGCTTAAAACAGCTCACCATAAGTTTTCTAAGTCTCAGAAACACCTTATGTGGTCCATACAAAGACCTCAGTAACTGAAATATGGCTGCATCTTTTGATGTCTATTTTTGCAGACTTCTAAGAGATTATAGAACGCAATTCCTAAAAGAGCCCTCTAATGGACATTCTACACTCTGCTCTCCATTTTTGCACTGTGAGTCTGAAGTATTATTGCTGGTGAGGTCAGTGATATGATTCCTGGCTTATGTTGGTAGAGTAGAGGAAATTTGGATTTCTGCCTACAAAGCTTCTATTTCTCTGTACCCACCAAAAAAACTCAGTTTAAGCCTTGAACAGAAAGATTTAAATATTGATGGGAATAAGCTGTCTAGTTGCTTCCAACTACTGCAATCAAGCCATAGCACAATTTATGTGATTTGCTTCTGTCTAGTTCAAGAGTAAGATCCCTGTGATTACTATTTGGTATGGGTTATCAGGACTAGAAAGCGTTATCTGCAAGAAGCAAGCCCCTGTCATGTCTCAAATGTTTTGACTGCTTGACACAGTCAAAGCACATTCCCTTTCAGAGATGCTCAAAAAAATCACAAGTTTGTTTTTATTAAAAACCCAACTCTGCCATCTTTCCTAATGCTGACAGTCCCTGATGACTGTCATCAGGTCTTAGAACTGGGACCTTTATCTCCATTTCAACATCCGTTTTGCCTATATTTGTCAAAACATGATTTACCTTGATTTCCTCCAGCTCCCGCAGCCCCTCCCTGCCATTCCCAAGGACACACACTCTTCTGTGAGTAGTCTTTCTTATCACACTTTGTCAACTTAGTCAGGTAACTGGATCATTTGCTGATGTATTCAAATGTACCGTTGATTTCTGACAGTGTTAAAGGGCTGCCAGTTGTCTTTGTTGCTGATCATTAAATAAAATGCTTAAGCACATCGCTTAACACTTACCTTAAAGTCCCAGACATCTGCCTGTAAATGAACTCTTCTTTCTCCTCAAAACAGGAAGTAGATATTTATACGGTGAAGACTGAAGAATTGGCATTTACTTCTGCGTTCTGCCTCCAAATTCAGCGTAATGATTACATTCATGCCTTGGTCACCTATTTTAATATTGAATTTACAAAGTGCCACAAGAAAATGGGATTTTCTACAGGTAACTTGTGTTTCTTTTAATTTCGTTTATATTGCTCAGAATATCAGTGCTACTAGTCAGATGGTACATGGAGGTTTACTGTACCACCAGGTTTGAATTAATAATAAAATTATTAAATATAAATAAAATCGATAAAAATTAATTTGATAAAAAGTGATAAAAATTATTGTCACTTTGGAGGAAGTGAGCAGGATGGGGAAAGGACAACTGCTTGTAGGAATTCTGCAAAAACAGGAAGGATTTCACAATGGCTACCAAGCTTAGAGCTCAGTGGGAATTATGACCCAGGAGTTTATGCCCATCACCAGTTATATCTAAATCCTATGTCAGTTTTCTCAGATTAGACAGGGAATTGTCAGCTCAGTGAGAGACAGCAGATCTTCACCCTAGTTTCCCCCAAATCCAAAACTCAACAAAAGCTCTTGCTTATCTCAGAGCCTAGAACAAAACCATCTTTTTTTTTTTCCAAGATACAACCACACACTTACTGCTTATGTAAATCATCTCTAACAACCCAAATGTGAAACTAACTTAGCTTGGTGAGCAGATATTTAAAGGAATAACTGCATTCCTGTAGGGCATTGTTTACTAGAATGAATAAACCAGACAGTGTTGCAAGAAATGTAAAAACCTCATGACTGCTTTAATGTCAAGAACAACAAACTACAGTTGGTGCCGGTTGCAGTTAGCACCATTACACAACTAAAACAGGTGTAAATGGGACCTGATATAAGTTAAATAAGATTAGAAATCTCTTTTTTAATCCTTCACAGGAGCCCTCAACACTTTACATGAGATTCAAAGCTCAAAGTACTTTGTTAAAATGTTTATATTTTATTCTAGAAATATAATCATATGGATGATGTTATTTGGTACCTCATATTCTTATGTTTTTCAGTAACCATGTTTCCCTGGTCATTCTATAAATGTGTTATTCTATAGTATTTCACACACCACGATAGGTATCTGTGCTGGGAAACAAAGTGTAGCTAGGGAGACATGAACAATCCGTGAGGCACTGTAGCCGTATCCTGAAGTGCTAATATTTCCGAGTTTGTGCTGAACAAAATTATCTAAGGTGGAAAACACTTGGGGTTTTAAGCATTTGTTTTTTCCACAGAAGGCTGATTTTTGTCAGTAGAAGGCAGCCCATTAATATTTTCTAAAAGGTAATATAGTCAAACCTCCAGTTTTCTGTAAAAAATAGCTTTGAACAAAGGGTGTAGTTACTGTGCTGTGATGCTAACTGAAACCTACCTTTGTACTTATACTACCAGAACTATGTGAAAGGTCTTTTGTATCATTGAGAATGTGGCTTCATCCACAAAGGAATAATGGAATGTGTTTCTGGTTTATGTGTGCATATGAACATACATGTTTTAAGAAACATCTGTTTAATAGATTAGGATATTTGATTAACGTTTTCAAGTCAAATGTGTCCCATCAGCAAATCTGGCCCTCAAACCCAGGCATTCTTCGCTTGACTCTTAGACATCCCGGTGAATAGGCATAAAAAGGGGCAAGGAAAAGGACCCGTTATTGTATTGCAAGGAGTTGCTTGTCCGCAGAGTAGACATAGGCTTGGTCCAGTTTCAGTATAGCAAAAGGGGTCAGGGATAAGGACTTTCTTGACTCTTCTTACCTCTTTGGTGTATGGTATAAAGAGGGCTTACTGAGGCACTTAGAAAACGTTCTGCAAGACCACCAGAGGTGGGCTTAGCTTCCCTTAGCATGCAGGAAGAGAGAACTTGAGGAAGGAGAGAGGTTAAATAGTATTAGGGAGAAGAGGCTCCATCCGGACAAAAGCCCAGGACAGATACCAAGTTTGGCATGGTGTTTTTCTTACAGAGAATTTTTTGCAGACCCACCTCAACTTGTACAAGGTATTATGTGCCTACCTGTCACAAAAAAAGATGAGTCACAATTTCCAATATTTTCTGAACCTCTATCAAGAATGTGGTTCATCAGCAGTGCCTGAAAACCTAGCTTCTCTAAACTATCTGTAGCTCCCGCAAGCTGCTACTTCAGAGATTCTGAATGTTTAGTCATGCACTCCCATTCTAGGATCCTTTCAGCTTTGATGACTTGTCCACATCTTTATTAACAACCTGGATGATGGGATAGAGTGATGTGATATTTAGAAAGATGTACACAGATTCAAATTGGGCTGATTAGAGCTGTGTAAATTTCAGCAGAGCCAAATGCAAAGCCCTGCAGCTGGAACCAAACAACTCCATGCTATTGCTTGGGCCAACTGGATAGAAATCAGCTTTGTTGGAAAAGAGTCTGGGATTCTGGTGAGCAACAAACTGAACGTGAATCAGAAGAATGCCTTTGCAGCAAATCTGACTAATCATCCTGACCTGTATTAGCATGAGTGTAGACAGGAGGTTGAGGGAAGTGTTTCTCAGTCTCTATTCAGCACATCATGATAAGGTAGGTGGGAACAAGTTACTCCATAAAAAGGTCATTTGGCCTTCTGTAACTGAAGGAATAGACACCCCAGTCTAGAAGACTGGTCTGGATTCTCAGCCAGTGTCTGATGGCAAAGCTCTACTGAATTCAGTAAAACATCCAACTTTGTAGGACACGGGGAAATGCTACTTCATTGATATGACATTTTTTTAAACTATGAAGAAACTGAGTGTGTGGTTTGGAGTGGACTTGAAGACCTGTGCCTACATTCCACACACACGCCTTGTTCATGGAGCACAAGTTCCCAGATATGTCAGGCTTTTATAAGGAAGACAGCTGTGCATAAGGGCATGTGCCCACGTACGTGTGTGTGTGTGCAAGATAGCAGTTATGATTTAAAATATAAGTTCAGTTTAGTTTTTGTCTGACATGTTTTCAGTTAGAAAATTTACAGAGTCGTCCAAATGGAAAACACATTCTGGATCTGAACTCCTGCAAGAAGATCTCTCCATTTAGCAATTGAGATTAACAGTCATTAAAACTGTCTAGTCACATAGCCAGAAATTATCTGGTAAAATATTTTATTTTTTTTTAAGATACCAGTTTGCCAACATAGTTTCTGACAAAAGTTTGTTTATATCAGTCTTCTGATTCTAGAATTTTGGAAAAAAAAAAATGGACTGCTAAAAATTCCTGTCCTCACAGTTTTTTAAAAAGCTTCATTTCCCCAGTTACAAACAGTTTCTAAAGCCAAATATTTTTTTGAAACATTGATTTTGAAATGAAATGAGATCATTTTTATATTAAACAGTGTTAAGATATTATTAGCACAATTCGATACAGTAGGCCCATGGCTGCATCAAAAAAAGTGATTGGGGAAACAAATGGAAAAAAAATAAATTTATCAGAGGTTTTTTGCCACATCAGGAAGTCTTTGAAATTGTATAGCTATTCTTAGGTTTCTAGATGCTCTTAACTGCAAGAATGATAGCAACAAGAAGTAACCAATGCAAGTTCATTACGCACTGCTCTAGATTTGAATTTAAATCAGAAATAAAAACAAACAAATAAAATACCTGAAATAGCAGGTCGTCAAAGGGATTCTGCTAAGCAAGACTAGAAATTTATTTAGTCCAGTATCCATCTCTGGCAAATTGGCCATAGCGTATGCTTTTAAAAAGTCCAAAGCCAGGTCAAGGTGCAAGTGTCCTTTCCCCAGCTGTATCTTCCTGAAAACTATAAAATCTGCTGTTCCGGGACCATGAGTCAAGGGGTCCATCTGTGTCACTGTGATTAATAGCTTTTGATGAACCTTTCTTTCATGGTTTTGTGTAACTGTTTTTTTGAACTAGTCGAGGCTTCTGACTTTTAAAGCACTTAGTGGTAAAGATTTCCCCAATTTGAATGTATGTGGGTTGAAAGGAAAGTATCAAAAAGGTGCCTATCATGCCCAGTAACCCCCTTTGTGGAATCCTTCTTGCTGTGTGTGATTCACACCTGACATATTCCAGTAAAAATCGGAAGACAACTCACTTTCACTGACAGTCAATAGAATTGTGTTGTTGTAAAGCATGTTTGCTAATATAGTATGTAAGTTAAAGAATTTTATGAGAAGAAAGGCTATTTTCAGTTGTTCCCTAGTCTTAATTTCATTTGTAAGACAAAGATGAAGTTTCTATAAATAATACCCATCTATATTTTTTAGCACCTGATGCTCCCTATACTCACTGGAAGCAAACTGTCTTCTACTTAGAGGACTATTTAACTGTCAGGCGAGGAGAAGAAATCTATGGGACTATATCCATGAAACCAAATGCAAAAAATGTGGTGAGTCTGCATCACTGATTCTAATTCCAACTTTATCGATCACAAGCTATAATCAGCAGTAAATAAAATGCATACAAGTAAAACAATGAGCGTGCTAAAGGCTCTAAATTTGTATTTATTAATAAGAACGCTAGTCACAGCTTCACCAAAGCTGGTGACAGCAATGATAATGCAGTGCTAATGTTACAGAACTCAGCCTGCAAACAAGTTAGCATGGGGAGGAAGAAATTATTCAAGTACACCACCGAGTCAGCTGCCCTCTGCGGTCAGCTTGGCTCAAATTTTGTGACACAAGCAGGCAAGGGCCTCTTCATCCTGTCACTGAAATCAGTGGTAAGATCCCTTCTGCCAACACATGATGATCAAGAGGAAGTTCCATGTCTATAGCCATATCTCCCACTCAGTGCCCAAGAGATCTTTACGAAATGATGTAACAGATTTCAGCTGAATGTCTGTATGAATTCGCTGATCAAATGTACTTGAACTCACTAATCGGGTGATGTGGTTCTTAAAAAATTGTGGCTTTCCACAGAAAATACAGATGGTTTATTTAAGACTAAAACATGATGGATATCACACTATCATGGCTGGTGAAAACTTCCTCAATTTGTCTGCTATGGGCTGAATCCCTAAGTATGTCACTTATTCAGTGCTTCTTTTAACTTGTAAGGAGACTATGAGACATGGTCTGATGGACAACCCATGTCTGTGCAGAAGAGCAAGACATGACAAGTATGGCTTCTGGGAGAAACAGTGGCAACATTTTCTGCCAAAACCTTGAGGAGAATCTCTTCATTTTCTATTACAACATGCGGCCACTAAAATAACCTGGTTATAATCCATCCATGCAGTTGTAATTATTGAAATATTGCAATTTTTAACTGCAGCAAATATTTAATATTTCATTGCTTTCCCTTTTTTTGCATTACTTTTCCTTTTTTGTAACGAATACAGACTGTATATTTTTTTCATAGTAGTGTTGATACAGGGGAAGAAATAAACAGAAGATAAACCTGGCATTAAAACAAGCACATTCACTCCTGAAGCTACCGCTTGCTGTGAAAGTAGAGGAAAATAGTTTGTTTTCCACCTTTATGTTGTCCTTGTGGGACTGGAACTTTTTCTTTTGGGCTGAATGTATCAATTTTCTTTTGAGGGAAAAATCAATAAAATATTTTAAGTTTGTTTGCACAGCAGTAAGCACCTGAATGCAGATTTAGGTGCTAAAATTAATGTGTTCTTGATAGTTATTATGAGACAGAGAGACTACCCTGGTTCAAAAGGATTTGTTAGTGCTTTTTTGTTCTGAAACATGAAGCCTTTCAAAAGCCTGTAGAGAGACAGCTTCATTTTGTAGAGCTATGTGGTGCCTCTTTCCAAAAAAACACATCGTTACAAGATAAAAAATGACTGAGGACTTCTCCACAATGGGAAGTTTACTAGATCTATTCTGGAATAACTCCTAGTGTGAAAGCCCTTTGCCCTAGATTAAGAGCATCTCAATGGGTGATACCCTAAAAAATTGTTATAGAATATGTATGATTGATAGCACAGCGATTCAGAAGCCTCCTACTTGTAACCAGGACACAAAATTAGCCTCAAGAAGTATATACAAATATGCCCTAGACATACGTTGTATGTTGAATGCTATTACAAATCTTATATTCTGCTTTTTCAGTGTTAGCAACGTTTAAAAACAAAATAAGTTAGAAACCACTGTAGGTATCTCTTGAATCTGTAGGTCTTTTCAATCCAAGCAATGATAACTGAATTCATACACTAAATTTACGGCCTCACTTACATGTTACATTTAAATCTTTTTACAGCGTGACCTGGATTTCACAGTAGACTTGGATTTTAAAGGACAGCTATGTGAAATGTCAGTATCTAATGACTACAAAATGCGCTAGCAGGAAACCTTTCAGAGAGATGAAAAGGAGAATTTTATCAAGTCCTGAACTGCTGAACTTCAAGCTAGGAACAACTGTTCACAAGATTATTATATCAAATACTAGAATGCTTACTCTGATGGGAAGTGGTAACCTGATCCTTCTTGCAGATTGTACAGGGGGCTGGGATCCCACTGTGAATGTACAGTATACAGAACTGTAGCTTTTGTCAAACATATAGGAAAAATAAGCAACAGTCTTGAGTGTTCTGGCTAACTTTAGGATGGCAGAAGATGCATATACAAATTGTACTACTTACTGTGAATTTCTGGTTCTTCCAAGCTTTGCATGTTAAAGATGATTAGGGCAGTTTTCTCACTATGAAAGACCACTACAGCACATTACTGTGATAGTATTACTGGACTTATACTCAATATAAATGAATATATATATTGTATATGAGAAGAAAATATCATTTCATAATAGGAATTTGTTTTGTGATTATTTAATTCTCATTATGCAGCTATGGAAAGATAATGATGTTACCTCTGGCACTACTCTAGGCAGTGACATATTCCATCAACTGTCCAAAGTATAGCTTTGGTAAATATTCCATGCAAAGTGTAGATAAGAGCTGGGCATTTACGGAAAGTTCAACAACTATCTTTTTGAATGTCCTCTGGAAAATGTGGACCATTAGTTTTAAAATTCACCTTCACAACTGGATGTCTGTCAGAGCTTTAAAAAACATTAGCTTTTTATCCTTGAAAATACTCTGTGGTAAATTTTTATAGCTGGATTTTGCATGAGACCTTCTGAAATCAGACACCTAGTATTTAAATGTGATGAATGCAAAGTCTCTGAAATGGTGGGTAATTCATGTTTCTTGGCCATGCCATATTTCAGTTCTTTGCAAGATTCTTAATACAAAATAATTAAAAAAAAATAGGAATTAGTGTTTCCTTTTGGCGATGTTTTAGATAGGTTTTAAATTGCAAATACTATTCTCAAGAGTGCAGTGATTTGCAGGAACGAGCTAATGTCTTTAAAAAAATGTCTATGGCTTCTGATATTACTAAGATGTCTGTAGCTTCTCTTACTCTTCCCTCCTCTTACACCCCTTGTTTTTCTTACAATATCGCCTGTGTATAGTTAAAATATTAACTGCTTATAATTCTTCATACATATGTATCAAGTCTTTTTACTATATGAATGTTGACCATTTAACCACTTGTAATTCATCAAAAACTGCATCCTATCCACCTACCTGCCTACCTATGGTCCTATCTATCCATTTTCCAGTCTGTCTGGCATTAGGCACTAAATCATGTTCTATCATGTATTGGATGAGATTGACTAGTTTTTTGCCTAAAAATCTTTTTAATTACCTGCAAATAAAGCATACTTGAAGATGTATTTTGCCAGTATTTGTCAACTTTTCACTTGTTAGAAACCTATTTCTATTATGTTTCCCTTCACAAAAACTGTACAGTGCCTCCATTTTCTTATGGTCTAAAGATTTTGGTCTAGGGAGTGTATCACATGGTGTCTTTGTAGAATGAAATTAAACGGTAATTCAGCAGTAAAAGATACCATTTGCAGTGTAGTTCATCACCGTTGTTTTCAAGCACTTTTATTTTCTTGGAATGAGGGTGAACAACTAGAATTTTAACTGTCAAATATTGCTGTCATTTTCAAGGCATCAGGAGATCAGCTACTCCTTTAGTAGTCATTTGGACCAGAAAACCTCTAGAAGCCCATTTCTACTAACACTTCTGTGGTATTTGGACTTTAAGGTAAGGAATTGTACCGATTTTTTTCTCAGCCCCCTCCATTTATGTAGGTACTCAGACAATGTTTTCATCTTTGCCAGTAATCACTGAGCTGACTATAAATGAAGAGGAAAGACTCTTGCTTTTTTTGTCTAACTTACTCTTTGAGAGCACTTCAAACTACCCACTTATCATGCCCACTGCATGAATCTTTAATATCTTTAGTATTAAAAGAATAATAAAGAAGGAAAAAAAACCCCATCTTGTTTAAAAAAAAAAGACAAGTCGCACACACTCCCAAAGAAAGAGAATTCACAAGGGTTTGCCTGCCTTAACTGAGATTGTGTCATTTTTTGCCTGACAGAAAGCATTGGACAAGAAGCAGCATAGAAAACTTGATCAGAACAGCTCATTAATCAGTTTTGAGAGGTATTTTAAGCACTGCTGTGTACTGCCCTTTCTGCCTCATCTTTCACCTAATGACAGTGAAATGTAGGTCTTCTTACTACAAGTGCCCATTCACTTCGGTATCGCAAGATTAGGTCCTTGCTGATGTTGTTAATGGCACAGTTCTGGGGTGATGACCAGACTTCAGTCACATTCAGCCCTGGGAAACTGGCTGGTGCATTTCTTCACATCAAAAGCATATCACATTTCTCTATCACAGAAAGGAGTGAGAGTTCCTGCTGCAGCACTGAGTATCTTCGAATCACAGCGACCAAAAAGAAAATTCAGGCTTCCAAGGCTATTGTAGGTGTTACCTACCACTAAGGTTTTGAAAGCATCCATGGGTTCTGCATACATAGGATCTATTAGGTCAGTATTAGTGAAACAGGTGTGCAAAGCTGGTGGACTTTCCTCAGCTACCCAACAAGTCTGCATGACTACCACACAGGCTGAGCCTAATCTTCTCAAGGCTTGAGTAAAAGGGTCTATCGTGGCCTCCAGGGTTGAACCCAAGCCACTGATCTTCAAAGCTTCGCATTAAAATACTAATGACAAAATGACCGTCAACATCTGAAACAGACATATGTTAAAAAGCTGACAGGGAAAGAAGATCATGAGCTGAGGACAGAGCATGAGAAAGAAACTGAAATACAGTGTGTACATAAAAGATTGTCCCTGATGAGTAGCAAATACAGCACTGGAGAAAAGAGAAAAGAGGTGAATTCTGCTTTGACTCTAATCTTTAAGCAAAACTATTAAAACTTTTCTCAGGGATTGTCTTGTCACTTGAAACACAAAGGAGCATCCAAAAAAGCTAGATACCCAGCATGCCTCTAAAAGGCACAGTGTGCAATGCACACTTGCAGTGTTTGTGGGACTGGGGAGGTAGTCCTTAATGTTATGAAGGCCACTCTGTGTTCTCAAGGTTCTCTACAGAACAGCATAGTATGACTCTATTCTCACATGTCTTTTTTTATTCCTAGCACCAACTAGCCCTTGCCAGATGTTATTAAAGTTTCACGGTTTTGGTTGGGTTTGGTTTGGTTTGGTTTGGTTTTGTTCGGTTTGGTTTGGTTTTTGCAGTCGGTTTTCTGGGGAACCTTCCTATGTGCAGAATTGGGAGGTTTAGAGCCTTTTTACAGTGTCTTAGATTTTTAATAGGGGTTGAAAAAGTTCAGAGTACAGACAAGAATATTACCCGAGACAGCATGTTTTTTACTACAGGGCCAGTTTGAAGAACCTTCTCAAAGATAATTTCTTACAGGATCTGTCTTAAATTTAATATTAATTCATAAATTAATTTACCACATACAAATTTGTGATAATCAAGAGAAACCTCCTTCACTTAGAAGGTAATTTTATAAAGGACACATGGTGTTCTACGTATATAATGAAGAATAAATCCCAGCTTTAAGAAGATAATCTAACACTCTCCTTTACCTATAAAAAACATCCCACACATACTACTTACATAAAAAATACATATAGATACTGTCATTTCAACATCTTGTCAACATAACATAGCAAGTGGCCCAAATCATATAGATTGAACTCAGTATAATACAGGACAATCTGTTTGTGTTGCATAATCAGTAAGTTCAAGTACTGTGCATACTGGTAGATGTAATCTGTTCTCTGTGATCAGAGTACACCGCAAGTCTTTTTTTAAAGATAAAGTATACATAAAACTTGGGAAAGAAAGACTTACTTAACAAAAGCATGTGCCAGTGTCACTGGTATAGTAGACAAACCAACACAATATTATGATCACTGTCAAATTACCTATAAGTGTTATAGAAATGGGAAATTTTAGAAGGCTGCTCTCACTGGTAAGTATGCTTTTCTTTTGCAGGCAGGAGCAGGGGGAGAGAAGGGGGGTGAGGGTGGTGGAGCAGAAAGGCACCCGAGTGACCTACCTCCTATCAGTCTGTCAGTTCCCTTATTCAGGTGGAGTCAGAGGCCCAGAACTCCTTTCTCAGCTGAATAAGAATATATTACTTTAGCCACAGGCAACGGGTGAGGTGAGGGAGAAAAGAGAAGGTATTCAAAATTCAAAGGGAACAGCAAAACAGAGTAGCTGGAGTTATTTTGCGATATAAACTCATAGAATCTTAGAATAATTTGTAATGGAAAAGACTCCAGCAAGTCTTTAGTCTAACTGCCTGCTCAGAGTAGGGCTAACTTCAGAGATATCTCGTGTGGCTTGCGACCTTGTCCAGACAAGTTCTGAACATTTCCGAGAACAGAGATTGCGCAGCCTCTCTGGGCAGCTGTTGCAGTGTTGCGTTAATCTCACAAGAAAGCATTTTGTGTTCAACTGGAATTTCTCTTGTTATCACTTGGAACTGTGGGCTCGTGTGCTTTTACTATGTGCCCCTGAGAAAAGCCTGGCTCTGTTTTCAGTGTAACTCCCCACACACTTAGTTCCTACCTCAGTCCCCTCACAGTAGCTCCTCTCTTCCCTATACAACCCTTGATTGCATCCCAGCCTTTCATATGAATCACACCACCTATTCACCTGTAATACCTCCCACACCTTTTTTCTTTCTAACAGAGGCTGTTACATATATCACTGCTGTTACATACTGCTTAACAAATGTATCTAAGGGTTTTACAAAGAATGTAGCTCCAAGGTTCACTAATTAAAGAGAACTTCAGGTTCTCTCAGTGTTTTGTGTTGGTGGCATGGCAGACACATTTTATGAGTAATTTTCAGGTTGGCATTCGAGGTATAGGTTTATGCCAGTGTGTGCGCTTGCCTAGTTTGAACATACAACAAAGCCAGGTGATTTCTTTTTCATTAGGCATTAAGCATTCATAGACTAGTTCCAAGTGGAAAAGTGGGAGGTTTTTAGTCTTTTTTGAAACATTTCCTTTCAACATTTCTCAGAGATCACCTCAGAGGTTAATCCCCAAAGCAGGGGGCAGGGGGAGGAAAACAAACTTTTTAGATCAGAACTTCCTAAAAATTAAGTATGAATTTACAGCACTTACAAATATTTTTTAAAAGCATCTAAAGAAACAAACCTGATGTTTCAGATCTGATATAAC